TATAATGTAAACGCAACTGATGGATAAATGTAGTAATTTGAGAACGCAGAAAAGATAAGCTTAGTAAAATAGATAATGAATTTAGAAATTTAATAAGCAGAAGGAGTGATAAAAGTCTCTTGCTATATGTTATATGTTGTTGGGGGTAGTTGTGTGTTGTTTGTATGTATGTCTGTAGTATATAATGAAAAAAATAATAAAAGTGTACCCTTGGGTATTAAAAAAAAAAAATATGGCAGACTCTGATCTGGAGAACCGGGTGTGATTCCCCACTCCTCCACAAGCAGCCAGCTTGGTGGCCTTGGGTCAGTCACAAGTTCTCCCAGAGCAGTTCTCTCAAGAGCAGCTCAGAGCTCTCTCCGCCCCACCAACCTCACAAGGAGACTGTAAGTCGTTCTGGGACTCTGAGTGAAGGGCGGAGCATAAATCCAATCTCCTCCCCCTCCCCCCATCTCTGCCATTGGCATCGTGGGGCTAGGGATATTGACAAAACGCTAGGACCAACCAAGCTGACGCAAAACATTATGTACACTTTCAAGCTCACCAGAGCTCTCTCAGCCTTACCTACCAGCCAGTTTGGTGTCGTGGTTAGGTGCGCGGACTCTAATCTGGGAGAACCGGGTTTGATTCCCCACTCCTCCACTTGCACCTGCTGATGTGACCTTGGGTCAGTCACAAGCTCTGGCACAGCTGTCCTTGAAAAAGAGCAGTTTGTGTCAGAGCTCGCTCAGCCCCCCCCACCTCACAGGGTGTCTGTTGTGGGGAGGGGAAGGGAAAGGAGTTTGTAAGCCGCTCTGGGACTCCAAGTGAAGGGCAGGGTATAACTCCAATCTCTTCTTCTTCTTCTTCTTCTTCTTCTTCTTCTTCTTCTTCTTCTTCTTCTTCTTCTTCTTCTTCTTCTTCTTCTTCTTCTTCTTCTTCTTCTTCTGAAGCTTGGAGGCTGATGATGGAGTGCACTCAAGTGACAGAAGACTTATGGCAACCCGCCAAAGGGTTTTCAAGGCAAGTGATGATCAAAGGTGGTTTGCCGTTGCTTTGCTCTGTGTAGTGACCCTGGACCATCCAAATGCTAACCAGGTCAATCCTGGTTAGCTTTCACGACCTGATGAAATCGGGCTAAATTAGGCCATTGAGGTCAGGGCCAGTGTTCCCTATCAGCTGCGTTAGTGTGAGCTAGCTCACAGTTTTTTAGCCTCCGGCTCACACGTTTTTGCCTTAGCTCAGGAAGGACGGCTCCTGAGCAAACTAATGTATGCAGCAGCCAAATCGCTCGCTCACAGCTTTAATTTTTGCTCACAAGACTCCACATCTTAGAGGGAACATTGGTCAGGGCACCAAGCCGTTACAAAATTTCCGCAAGGTACAAGGGCAGATTTCGCAGGCCACGATCTTGCGGCCTGATCCTGCAGGCATCCTTTGCGAGATGCAGCGGGCAGGCAGCTCTGTGGGATGCTCCATTCCACCAGTTGTGTTGGCTTCTTTGTGCTCTCCCTGTAGATCGGAAGCACCAAAATCTGTCCAAGATTCATCTCGCACTCCAGGTTTAAGTCGATTGTGCAGAGAAACAGAACAAAGTTTTGAGTCCAGTGGCACCTTTAATTCTTTGTTGGGCTTAAAGGTGCCACTAGACTCAGACTTTGAGAGCTAGTTTGGTGTAGTGGTAAGCAGCACAGATGCTAATCTGGGAGAACCGGGTTCAATTCCCCACTCCTCCACATGCAGCTGCTGGAGTGACCTTGGGTCAGTCACAAGTTCTTTCAAAAGCTGTTCTTTCTCAAGAGCAGTCCTCAAAAGAGCTCTCTCGGCCCCACCTACCTCACAGGGTGTCTGTTGTGGGTCGAGGAAGGGAAGGAGATTGTAAGCCCCTCTGAGACTCCAAGTGAAGGGTGGGGTATAAATCCAACTCTCCTCCTCCTGCTGCTGACCAACATGGCTACCCACCTGAACATATCTCTGTGTAGAAAAATGTACAGAGTTAATGGCATGGTCTTTGGGAATAAGGTTGGCCTCTTTTGCAGGGCTGTTGTACTTTGGTCACCTCACGAGAAGACAAAGACTCACTGGAAGGCAGGAGGAAAAGAGGAAGACCTAACCTGAGATGAATTAACTCAATCAAAGAAGTCACAAGGGCCCTCTCTATTTGCAAGATAGGAACAAGACTATTAATGACAGGATGTTTGGGAGGTCAGTAATTCATGGGGTTGCCAGAAACGGGAAGCTACTGGATGGTGTATAACATACATGCCTTTATTTATTTAAAATATTTATTAATATGCCTTTCTCCCTTCCAGAGCTCCAGGCGGCTTGCAATGTAAGCAAAAAGCTTATTTAAAAAAACAGAATAAGAACACTTTAAAAACTCTACCTAGGACTGCTGATAAATGAATTTGTTGTTGTTGTTCAGTTGCACAGTCGAGTCCAACTCTTTGCAACCCCATGGACCAGATCATGCCAGGCCTTCCTGTCTTCCGCTGTCCTCTGAAGTTGGCTCAATTTCATGTTCGTTGCATCGATGACACTGTCTGACCTTTGCCGTCCCTGTCTTTGACCTTCAATCTTTTCCAGCATCAGGGTCTTCTTCTCCAGTGAGTGCTCCCTTCTCATTGGGTGGCCAAAGTATTTGAGCTTCAGTTTCGTTATCTGGCCTTCCAGGGAACAGTCAGGGTTGATTTCTTTTAGGATGGACTGATTTGATCTCCTCGCAGTCCAAGGGACTCTCAAGAGTCTTCTCCAGCACCATAGTTCAAAAGAATCTATTCTTCGGCGCTCGGCCTTCCTTATAGTCCAACTCTCGCAGCCATACATGACTACTGGGATAAATGAATGCTGTCAATCAAATGCAGTCCTACTGTGACACTGTCTTCGGCCGCCTCCTGAAGACTGACAGTGAGGGGGGCCAGGGGCACCTCCCTGGGGAGGCTGTTCCCTAATTGTGGGGCTGCCACCGAAAAGGCCCTCTCCTCCTGTGCCCACCAGACGGGCCGCTTTGATTGGAGGGAGACTCAAGGGGGCCTCTCCCTGACATCTTCACTCCCTGGCAAGAAGGTCTGGGAGGAGGTACCCCACTCCCAGGCCACGGAGGGCTCTGAAGGACACAAGCAAGGCCTTGAGTTGGGCTGGGGAGTGGGTGGGTAGGCAAGGCAAGTCCCCTGCGCATTCAGCACCACCTGATATCTTTAGACCACCACAGCCTGGGGGAAGCCGGGTTCTGCCCAATCCCCTAGTAGGGGCTGTGCAGGTGGGCCAGCCTGGGGTGTGTGTGTGTATTATTGTGTGTGTGTGTGTTTGCATGTGTGTGTTTGTGTGTGAGAGAGAGAGAGAAAGAGAGAGAGAGACTGTGTGTGTGTGTGTGTGTGAGAGAGAGAGAGACTGTATGTGTGAGAGACTGTGTGTGAGATTTTATGTGTGTGAGAGAGAGACTGTGTGTGAGTGAAAGAGAGCCTGTATGAGAGTGTGTGTGTGTGTGTGTGTGTGAGAGAGAGAGAGACTGTATGTGTGAGAGACTGTGTGTGAGATTTTATGTGTGTGAGAGAGAGACTGTGTGTGAGTGAAAGAGAGCCTGTATGAGAGTGTGTGTGTGTGTGTGTGTGTGAGAGAGAGAGAGACTGTATGTGTGAGAGACTGTGTGTGAGATTTTATGTGTGTGAGAGAGAGACTGTGTGTGAGTGAAAGAGAGCCTGTATGAGAGTGTGTGTGTGTGTGTGTGTGTGAGAGAGAGAGAGACTGTATGTGTGAGAGACTGTGTGTGAGATTTTATGTGTGTGAGAGAGAGACTGTGTGTGAGTGAAAGAGAGCCTGTATGAGAGTGTGTGTGTGTGTGTGTGTGTGAGAGAGAGAGAGACTGTATGTGTGAGAGACTGTGTGTGAGATTTTATGTGTGTGAGAGAGAGACTGTGTGTGAGTGAAAGAGAGCCTGTATGAGAGTGTGTGTGTGTGTGTGTGTGTGAGAGAGAGAGAGACTGTATGTGTGAGAGACTGTGTGTGAGATTTTATGTGTGTGAGAGAGAGACTGTGTGTGAGTGAAAGAGAGCCTGTATGAGAGTGTGTGTGTGTGTGTGTGTGTGAGAGAGAGAGAGACTGTATGTGTGAGAGACTGTGTGTGAGATTTTATGTGTGTGAGAGAGAGACTGTGTGTGAGTGAAAGAGAGCCTGTATGAGAGTGTGTGTGTGTGTGTGTGTGTGAGAGAGAGAGAGACTGTATGTGTGAGAGACTGTGTGTGAGATTTTATGTGTGTGAGAGAGAGACTGTGTGTGAGTGAAAGAGAGCCTGTATGAGAGTGTGTGTGTGTGTGTGTGTGTGAGAGAGAGAGAGAGAGACTGTGTGTGTGTGAGTGTGTGAGAGAGAGCCTGTGTGAGTGTGTGTGTGAGAGAGAGACACAGAGAGAGAGACTTTGTGTGTAAGGGTGTGTGTGAGAGAGAGAGACTGTGTGTGTGAGTGAGAAACTAAGTGTGTGTGTGAGAGAGAGAGACTGCATGTGTGAGAGAGACTGTGTGTGTGTGAATGTGTGTGAGAGACAGAGACTGTGTGTGTGTGTGTGAGAGAGAGAGACTCTGTGTGTGTGTGTGAGAGAGAGACAGAGAGAACTTGGAGAGGGAGGGGGGAACCACAGAGAGAGAGAGAGGGGCAGGGAGGGAGGGGAGAGAGCTGGGTTCCTCTGCCTTTCCGCCAGCGGTGACAAGGAGCCCGGGAGAGGCGCGTCTGTCCTGCTCGGTCTCCCTGCTCGGTCGGCGGCTCGGGTCCTGCCAGGGGGTGGACCCGGCGCAGAGGGGAGCAGCGGGGGCTCCCCGGGCAGGGGAAATCGGGGCGTGCGTGTCGGGGAGGCGTGTGTGTCTCCTGGCTTCTGCAAACTCCCGAGCTGGGGACGCTCCTGCCTCTCCTCGGGACCGGCGCGGGAGGAGGAGGAGGAGGAGGAGGAGGAGGAGCCGGTCTCAGCCCCGGCAGGCTGCCGCCGCCGCCGCCGCCGCCCAGCTCCGCCTGCCCGGCCGGCCTGCCCGGAACCATGCCGCCGCCTCTGCCCTGCCGGAGCTGGACGCTGGCGCTGCTGACCCTGCTCGTGGGGATCCTCATCTTCGCGGACATCTCGGAGATCGAGCTGGAGCTGGGGTAACTGCTT